CCCCAAAACCCCAAAACCCCAAAACCCCGTTAGATAAAGAAAAGATTGAAAATTTATTTCAAATGAACATCTATCTGTTCACATCTATCTGTTCACATCTATCTTACAAATCAAACCTTAACAATTCTTTACAGAAATTTATTGTAATTAAAATTATTTCCTACACAGACGTGTAGGAGAAGACTCTGGCTCTGGGCAGCCAGAGTCTGTTCCACTTCTTGTCGCTAGCCTTCTTGGCCCCAGTGAATTTCAGACTTAAGCTTTGGACTTTGGGGGAAGACTTCATGCTGGTAAGAAGTCTGGAGATTATGTCTTTGCGGTGTTGTTCGCAGTCTGTGCCGATGGAAATAGTCACTGTCTGGAGGTTCCTTGCTTTGGATAGGATATTTTGGGTTATTTCAATGAGATCGTCGACATAATAATTTCAAAATAATCTTAGTTTATTTAAATTGATTCTTTCAATGTTTTCTTCAATGAACTTGAATATTTCCATATTTTGAGGGGTCTCTTCTGGGTTTGGTTTGAAATTGAGTGAAAGCATCCCAAATTGGAAAGGAATTTTACATTTTGCTCTCTTCTCTAGAAAAGATATTTGAGGATCATCTTGCTGTTCTGTTGAATTTTCAAAAATACGACCCGAATATATTACAGCGCTGACATCCTCCACTCTAAACTCCAATACTCCCTTCTTCCCTCCAATCTCCCCTCCCTTCCTACCCACTCCTCCTTTCTGTATCCTAATAAGCCTCCCAAAAGTTTCAAAGTTAGAGCAGATCTGGAAGCAGCCTGGGCTGGAAGAGAGTGGGCAAACTGGCGTTTTTATAGCAAGGGTCTTCAGGTGGTAAGTGAGGGTTTTGGTGTTGTGGGTAACGGTGAAAAGTCCTTTTTCGAGGACGATTAGAAAGTACTTCTCGGGGTAGTCGAGGAATTGCTCGTATTTGATGTTGCAGGAGATGTTTAGGTTCTTGATTTTGTCTATTCATGGATTCCATTTAAGAATTGATCCAACATCTCTGAAAGAGAATCATATTCTTTTAAAGTTCGCTTTTAAAGCTTTTCCTGGCTGAAAGAGATCATACTTCAATATTTCTGATACTTTGACATCTCTCCAGCATGAGATGTCCATCTCTTGGCTGTGCTCATAAGGAAACAATGTTTTAGTTGAGCTAATACGTCATCAATCCTTCAGTCACTCTTTAGTGTAAACCATGTGGTTTTCAGGATTCATAATTTCGATCTCTGTGTTCGAGGTCTCTGGGAGTGGCCCTTTGATTAAAACTTTGATTTTAGAATCCAAGACGTAAACATTCTCCATTAGGATACTTTTCTGTTCAATTTCAAACAGTGAAGGCATTGAATAGATTTTATACAAATCTTCTTGAGAGTCTTCGTGATATTTTATATTTAGTCTGTTCAATCCAAGCTTTTCATAGCTCTTATTGATAGTCTCTCATAGAAGTTTAATCTTGTTCATTAAGGATTCAACTCCATTAGGCTTTGCAGGAGAATAAACTCAGGGGCTTCTGGGATCATTTTGGTCGGTAAAGTTTGAGGCTCTTGAACAACGCCTGATATTCAGTTCTATTCTCTTAAATTCAATAGGAGGGTTTTCATTTATAAACTTTGTTAGTACATCTAAATCTTTGCTATGAAGAGCTACTCGAAGTTGGAATTTCAGGAACATTTCTGGAGAAAATTCAGCGATCGGAACAAGGTCTAAAGGGGACATCAGACTCATTCAATCTTTGTATTCTGAGAACAATCTACTCCATTTATAAATATCTTTTTTCCAAAGACCTCTTGATCTCTTGCTGAACTGCATCATCAGGTTATGGATAATATCTGGGTACGAATAGTAGGGAAGTACATTCACCACAGAAGATATATTAGTAAAAACATCTCCTAAACCATTCAATCTTTCCTTCATTCTTGGGGTTTTGGGGTTTTGGGGTTTTGGGGGTTTTGGGG